AACTTAAGGAAAACTAAAGATTAGTAACTTGAGGAAACAAAAAACTGACCCTATTTTCCAGGCGGGACCCCTGAATTTTGAGATTAACAACTTAAGATAACTAAATCTAACCGTATTCACCAGGCGAGACCCTTGAACTTAAGGAAAACTAAAGATTAATAATTTAAGGAAACTAAAACCAACCCTATTCTGCAGGCGGGACCCCTAAACTTAAGGAAAACTAAAAACTCATCTAACTAGGGAGAATGCCTAGGAGGTACAGTTCTTCTCAACTAGGGAAAATGCCTAGGAGGTAATGGTCATCTCAACTAGGGGAATATATACGAGGTAAAATCCTTCTCAACTAGGGGAATTCCTAGCAAGTAAAAACCTTCTCAAACAGACTTTCTGCTGACAAAATTTCGGCACGACACTTCAAAAATTCAAGCTTCCAAGCTTTGATTTGGACATAGTCTTCATCCCTATTTCAAACAAAGAAAACTTGTGAGTTTAAACATGGTGGTTGGTTTGTGGCCTTGACTTTGAGGGCGATTGCTCCATCACTTGCCATGATAACTTTGATTTCAACTTGGAAGACCTTGCTTGTTATTGACTCACCAATTTTCTGTCAACCCTTATCACAGAAAACCACTCCGATCCATTCAAGCCCAATACCCTCTATCTGCTGCATTTTGCTTTTGCTTATGAGTTGACATTTACTTGAACCTTTGCATTTCACATGAATCCCAAAACATGTTAATTATCGCCCACTTAGTGCGCATATTGCTCTTTCCTGACTTATGCCGCTTTGATGTGCTAGCTTTGTGCGATTGGAAAGCTGGTAGAAAATTTGAAGTCATTTCTCACTTGTTCTGACCAATCAGACCCAAAAAGAGGACTTGAACTAAGCAAAAGGAATAGAGAAAGGGGACAATGAAAAGAGATGACATATAACAAGAGAATTACCAAGTAAAAACTTATCAGATGCGGACACCAACTACAATGACCATGACATGCATTTTGGATTAAGTGGCCTAATCTGTCAAGAAATTCTAATGTTCAACTCTTGTTGTATCTCTAAGCTGTGAAACTAGGCTTCAATGCTCCGATTATCCTATTTTATTCACGGTCCTTATTCGACTTGTAGTGCCCGAAGGGTCTTCACCATCAAGCCTCTCTCATTTTATTTTTTCTCTCAACTCACCGTCGCCTTATGGTGCCTCTGAAGGTTTTCACCAATAAGAGTCTCTCATTTTGTTCTTTTGTTCTTATTTCCTTTGATTCTGCAAATGACAAGGTATTAACCTTGGTAAAAATATCATATGCTCTTGGCATGGATAACTCAGCACTCTCAAAGATTATCTGGGAGGTCTTTTTTTGTACTGTAATGTGGCTTTTGGATAGAGGTAGAAAGAAAGGATATCATAAAGGCTCAAAATAACTAAGATAATAAGGTTAATTCATTTACAACTTTTGGAATTAATTTTAAAACTTTGCCCCAATTTCTAAAACAAGAGAATTTGATTCTCTCTCTCTCTCTCCCTCTCTCTCTCTCTCTTTTAAGAAAATGATTCGAAGAAAAACTGCCCACTCTTGACTTCGTGGGATTATGAAATATTTTATTTGGTACGACCGAACCGTAAGGCTGCCTATGTATCTTGTGGTGACAAAAATTAGGTCTAACATAGTTCACACTTGACCTAACTATTTTTTATCTTTCTTTCTATTTCTTTTTTTTTCTCTTCTCTTTTTTTTTCTTTTTTTTCCTTTCTTTTTTACTTTTGAATTTTCTTTTGGGATGAACTTTCTAAAACAAACCTATGGGGACATGAACTTTTGTTTTTTTTTTACTCTAACTTGATTCAAAAGAGAAGAGGTTAAAGAAATCAAAACAGGCTCAAAAAAGTACCAAAGGGTATAAAGTGTTTGGGTAGCTGAAAAAAGACCTCCCAATCTCTGAAAATGCTGAGTACAACACTTACAACTTGAGGATACAAATTGACGATCATGCACCACATTTTTTTTGTAGCTTCGACATTGATATCACTGATATGCCTTCCATTTTCTTTAGTGTCTTGTCAAGTACAGAACTCTCGTTGGGTGATTTCTTCTTCACAATGGATACCCTCCAAACTCTCTAGGCTTTGCCTTGTAACATGAGATGCACTTGAACTCAAAGTTGTTTGCTTCAAATTGTCTAGGACACGCTCCCTTGTAACAAATTCTTATCATCCTATTAACTTCTCAAACTATTTTTCCCAGTTTTACACAATTCGGCTTTAAGTGATCTCAAAATGTCCAAATCTTTACTTATTTCCCTGAAATATCCCTGTCGTCTTCAAACCTTATTCCATTGTTTCATGATTAGACTAACTTTTAAGACTAGCCTGTGAATTCTGCGTGCACGTCATGTCACTAGAGTCAGCATGAAAAGAACTATAAAAGAAAAAGAGAATTAAACAAAACATACAAGAAATAACAGAAAACAGGAGATTACGTTAAACTGATGGTGAAAAAGTGTGAACAACAAAAACAAGCAAGAAAAACTTGGGTTACAACCCTGAAACAAACCTAGATAACACTAACGAATTACTATGACTAAACGAACTAGGCAAAATAAAAGGATAGAAGGATTTGAGTCACAAGATAATATCTGGATTACAACCCTAAAATAACCCGAATAACAGAAATGATAACAAAATAAACCACCAAGACTCCCCTAGCTAGCCAAGAAAGGAGCGTCTTTCTAATTACCAAGCTCTAAATCTTAGCCACTGAGTTCCACATCAATATCACCAAGACCATTACCAAATTCAATCACATTGGCCCCAAAAAATAGCTTTTGGGTCCCTTTTGCGAGCTTGTTCTTAAGATCAACTTCTAGAACCGAGATTGATAGTGTTGAAAGCACTACGGAAAGTGGCCCTCCAAGGAGCTCATAAGAGTTTCCATACTCCTTTTCAACACAAATCATGCCCACCATATGCGTCTCATTATGAACATGCAATGGCTTTTGGCTAGTATCCGCTGCATCTGGATTTTGCCCGGTAATGTCACCTACATCAATAAGCTTCTGGACTGCTCTTTTCAGATGCCAACACTTTTCTATATTATGTCACGGGGCATTAGAGCAATATGCGCACCTTTGAGATAATCAAAATTATTTCAAAGGGGGTTCGACATTTTTATTTGAATCGACTTCAACAAGTCCAATTGCCTCAATCTTTGTAACAAACTGGCATATGATTCTCCAATAGGAGTGAAAGACTTTTCTCTTTGTTGCTGTCTTTTCATTTTGTACTCCCACCTTGGTTGGAACCTCTTGCGAGTAGGTGGTTGATATGCTTGAGGAGGTGGGAAAGACATTTGTAGAGTTGGTGGAGGTCATTGCGGGTCTTGTGGATGTGGAGCATATGGCGGTGAATTGTGGGTAGAGTATTGGGAAAGTGGAGTATGACTTTGGGGATTTTGTGGAGAGAAGTAGCATTGGGAAAGATTATTTGGAGTATGCAGGTATTCATGGGGTCGATGTTGAGGCTGAAACCATTGAGCACGAACGCCCACTGGATCTTGTCGTTGGCGGGGCTCAACAACATCTTTTCTATTTCTCTTTCTTTTACCCCAAATTTACTGAGATTTTCTAAATGTCTTCTGTAGTATCTTTCAATGCAAAATAACTCATGATTTTTCCTGACTTGATTCCTCCTTCTACCATCTCCCCCATTTTTACCACATCATAGAAAGGGAGGAGCGGTTTGGGATAATGTTTATATTATACTGAAAGTGTCGAACAAAATCTTGAGTCATGTCATCCCATGCATACCACTTACTAACATCTTGATGCGTATGTCATTCCAAGGCTGTCCCACTCAAGCTTTCATTGAAATACGCCATCAACAACTCATCTTTCTCGCCAACACTTCCCATTTCACTGCAATAAACCCTCAGATGGGCTATTGGTTCTCCACGCCCATCATACAAGTTAAACTTTGGCATTTTAAACCCCGCGGGTAGATGAATATCGGAAAACATACACAAGTCATTGTAAGACATGTTAATCTGATTTCTCATCCCTTTCATGTTCTTTAAGGATTGTTCTATGCCTTTCAGCTTCCTGAATTTCTCATCTTGCTCTTCGCTCCTTGTGGTCTTTTTATTTTTAACATGAAGCTCATTCTGCGGGCTATGATTGTATGAGTCTGAGACCTGGTGGGCAAACCCTTGGGGATAGTATTGGGTATCATGAGGTTTGAACTGGTGTTCACTGTTGGACCTAAAAAGAGGTTGTTGAGTAGTTGTGATAGTGGAGGTAGTGGATATGACCGGAGGGCTATTTTTTGGAAAGATAGTTGGAGGACGAATGATGGAGCTACTAGGGAGGTTGGAAAAGCTATGGTAAGCGGGAAAATCTTGAGAGTATGGTGGATGATCTAACACTATGTTTGGAGCTTGAGCAAGGGTAACATCTGGGGTGCTAGCTGGTGGCGGGGGTGGTGCCTTCCCAGCCATCCAACTCAATTATTTTTGGGTACCAGTATCATCCAACTTATCTCCGTTGTCATCTGCCATTGCCTTTCGACTTTATGTTGTAGGAAAGAGTTACTAGTTTAAGAATCACAAATCAACCACCCTTCTGCTATAATGAAGATAACAAAAAGGAACAAAATGAAGTCATCACGTTAGCGTTAGGGCATTTAACATAAGATAATCTCACATTATGTGCAATGCACCTAGTCACAGTTATCGGTTCTAAATTGACATCGAGGGTACGAAGGTCATATGGCATCATCCCAATTTCACTCTTCTTGCCGCGTTTCCTTCTTCATTTTCCTTTCTAGCACCCCTTAGTTTTTCATTTTCTTTCCTCTGATTATCACTCTTTTCTTTCCTCTCACTTCTCACATCCCACATTTTTTTTTAAATTAAATGATTCGATCGAACCCTATGTAGGTTGCCTACATATCATGTTCCTCATGAATAAGATCAAGCGTAGTTCTTGAAAAGTAATGGAAAAAATAAACTACAAACAAAAACCTTTTGGATTTTTCATTTATAATTTTTTTTGGTTTTTCAAATACAAATAGTAAGTACGATAACAAAAGACTCAACAAACTCAACTAGACTATGGTAAACTCTGACATCACCTAAAAGACACAATACTACTGGACAAGACTACAAGGTGAAAGACCAACATAAAAACAGACTCAGAACATAAAAAGGCTCCTTAAGCAGCTCCTAAATGCAGTTGTCCTGGGTGCTTGTCATGCTCGAGCCCTGATAAATGTATCCATACCTAAATGAGAAAAATAAGACCAAATAGAATTAGTGACCCGAGACACTATGCGACGCCACGATACCTTCTATTGGACACATGCAAGACATGATTGAGGCTATATTTTGCATAATGACCTATGTGGCCAAGGATGGCTACAAGTGCAAACCCAACAAGGGTGACCACTCAGATATGAAAAAAAAAAACTCAAAAGGCCTATATGGCTTCAAACTCCCAATTATCATGGCCCTAGAAATTACTTTGCAAAAGTAACCCATTTTTGCAAAAATGACCGATGTGGCCAAACGTGGCTAGAGATGCAAATTCAACATAGACAGGCCTTAAAGTAATATGACACCTAGTTGTAGACTCAAGATTCTAATAACATGGTTCATTGATCCACTTTTGCGAAAATGAACCCATTTCGCAAGAATGACCAATTTGGCCAAAAGTGGCTAGACATGCAAATTCAACAGGAATGGACCTTAAAACTGAGAGGACACCTTGTTGTGGACCTAGGGTTCTAAGACATGGGATAACAAACTACTTTGAGAAAATAGCCCTATTTTGCAAAAACGGCCGATGTGAACAAATGTGGCTAAAAATGCAACTAATTTGGAAAAACTATATTTTTTGCCTTTTTGAAAAATGATGGAAAATGTAAAATTCTTTTGGATTTTTTCTCTCTTTTTTTTTTGGAAAATGATGAGAAATTGCAAAAAAAAATTGGATTTTTCAATTTCAATTTTTTTTGGAAAAAGTTACGAAAGAAAATTATAATTGGGCCTTACTTGTTAAATCTTATATTTCACCCTCTTTTCTTTTTTATTTGCCCTCAACTATCATTGGTCCGCCAAATGACTCTTTTACCCTTAAAGAATATAGCATGCGGCACAGAGGAATGATTAAATGTCTTTTTGGACCATGGGCCCATTTTGACATAATTTGGATAGGCTTCTTACAACGGGACACGGTACTTGGGACCGAGCCCTGCTAGGTTTAAATAATATGATGCAAATAAGCATGACCTAAAGGCTGACCTAAGTTTGGGGTTCACTAGACAAGGCAATTCGGGGCAGCACGTTGTTGATGGAGGTTGCTCTAGCTGCCCGCCCACTCCACGCTCCCACACCACCCACCAAATGATACGGGTGACTCACAAAAAGTCGTGTACGCTCAAATGTACTCCGGAAGACTTGTTGCGGAAAGAAGACCCATGGTGATGCAAATGATGACAATTTATAAAGCTGTAACACATAAGGAAAAGTGATAAACAAACAACCAACAAAACAGGGAAATAAGACAAACAAAACAAATAAACAAAACAAATACCTCAACCGAATATCCTAGAAGCCAACAAGATCAAGTACCAGCTCGAACCTGCAACTCCCCAGCAGAGTCGACAGAGCTTTCACACCTTTTTTTTCCACCACATTACCCCTTTTAAATAAATAAAGTGATTTTGTGAAGCTCAAAAGGGTTTCAATTATAAAAAGTGATAAAAATTTGTGTTCAAAAGAATTAACTCAAAGTAGCCACCTGACATTGATTTCGGTGTGCCAGGTAACCGTTTTTAGAAATATTTTTTCCTTTTACAACACCTTAGACTCCAAAACTCAGTCTGCACCAGAGATTCAGGTAAGAGGGTTCATTTGACTCGGAGAGAAGGTGTTAGGCACTCCCCAAGTCCCGTAAAAGTCACGGTTGCGTACTTGATCTAGTCGACTTTTAAAATATTCAAATTGAGGTTAAAAAAATAGACAAAGGAAAATAAACATACAAGAGGCTCGAAGTCATCCCCACCTAAACGAAAGAAATTAAAAATAAGAAAATTAAAGTAAAATCCTAAATACTATTATATACTATACTTTTCCACAAAGTTCGTCATGGCCTCCAAATACATGATACTATGGGGCATAATCCGGATAAAAAATATATACAAAATCTAGGGGGCATTCCCCGAATAAATTTAACTAAAGGGGGTGACCTCTCACCTCAAAAGAAACTAAAACACGAACGCCCTAAAAATTTGTCTACCCAAATGATGATGGCCTAATATACTCCTAACGGGTTCTAATACAAAGTATAACAATAAACTAAAGTGGTGAAACATTTAAATCTCAATTTCTCCTTAGTTTAAGTTAAACTCTGTATCCCACATCCCAACTTTAGTAATTTTCTTATGGAACCTATGATTCCAACGCCGAACCTCCACTCACTAATGTATTCAATGTAAAAATTTACAGACAAAGAATCAGCTTCAATGCAATCAAGTGATTTGAGTAAACTTTAACTCTGACTAATGACAATTAAAGAGAAATATGACACCACTGAAACTCAAACATATTAGCTCTAAAGTTAACTATAAATTCCACAAAGTAATCTATGGAACTTACGAAGGAGACACAATTAATTCCTATTCAATTATTTCCATTATATATGTGACTGAACTAATATTTATACCTTAACGCCAATTGATAGCAAAATATTAATAGTGAAGCCTTAAGTATTTTAAAGATTCTTCAAGTCATTAAACCAACAAAACTTTGTATGAGCTAATAATAATATATATAAAATAGGATGGCAAATACTAACACATCCTCATCACAGCAATAAAACATTAATCCAAACATTCCACAAAATAGAGAAACGACAGATTAATGGAAGCACTCTATGAAGCAAAACAGTCAAATAAAGAGGGAAATGGACCTGAGTGCACAAAGCCTTTGATTAACTTTTCTAGGAATCAAATATAGAATGATCCATCAATGTAATTTTGACGTGACAGCAACTAAGAGGAAGAAGCTGCGAACCAAATCGGAACCACGAACCTTAAGCGGCGGACGGAATCGAACTCACAATCCAACACAGAACCTCAAACGATCTCCATATTTTGCAATCAGGAATTACAATTCGAAAATCAAGAAAAAAACAGAACTATTTTTTATACTTTTCTGATTTCTGGAACTTAAACCAAGAGAAAATTGAAGACGAGGAACTGTCCCTTTTTTTGGGAAACTACATGTTTATTTCTTGGTATTGTTCTCGAGTGAATGCGTGTGTGGGTATTTCCGGCAGGTTGTAGTGAAGGGAAGAAGGGGACAGCGATGGGTGTTAGAGTTCCGGCGATTTCGGTGGAGGGGTGATGACATTCTTGTGTGGGGGTGCCAGCGAGTTTGAGAAGTGACGGCCACTAATTTCTCTTAAGGTTCCGTCATTTTTGGGTTGAAGATGGAGGGGTGTGGGCGGCTGGAGGGGGTTGCTGTGTGCGTGTGTGGTTGCCGGAGTTATGGTGGTGGACCGGTGGTCTGGTTGAGAGTGACGGCTGTTTTTGTGTGGAGGAGATGAGGGGTCCTAAGGTATGTTAGGTTGAAGAAGATGAAGGTCTTAGGTTGGGGTGTGTAGATGATAAAAAACGGCCGAAAGGTCTTCTAGGCTCCTAGGTTTTTTTATGGGTTTAAGAGTATTGGGCTTTAAAACTGGGTCATCTCTTGGACCTCTTGAATTAAGACCAAATAAAACTGCCCTCAAATTTTATACTTTTTCTTCTAAAAATGATATAAAATTTATAATATAAAATATAAAACTAATTCTAATTAATTAAAATAAATAATATTATATTGTAAAACTATTTTGGTATTTTTCAAGATTATATAAAAATAAAAATCCTAGTAAAATAGTATTACTACAAAACATTAATGAAACTGTTTTTTGTAATTTTGTTTTTGTAATAAAATAAAATAAAAGAGTCAAACCTAATTAAAATAGTGATATTAGACCTAAACTAAATATTTAAAAGCTAAAAAGTGTAAAATCTCAGGGAGAGTAAAAAATTACATATCTACATGCACCAGCCTGAACTACCATTAAGGATAATATGCCGTTACCAACACCAACAAAAAACATTACCAAACTATGTAATGAAATATGGTTCTCAATCTTTGCAACACAATAGGTTCCTGTTCTTACAAAATCCTGCAGCATTGTCTATAGATGCATTAGGCTACGTAGTGAAACAATTGCTCCGGATATACAAAGGTCAAAATTGGGTATCCTTGCTTTGTTACCCATGAACTCCAAAAATTCAACATCCCTTTCAGTACAACCATTGGGAGTATAAGCATCAATTATATTACACCTTAGTGGAATTTCCGTTAAAAATTAACCAAGCACCCCGCATGCTAAACATATCAGATATGGCACAAGACAAAAAAATATTATTTCCTTCTTGCAAGCCACCCGAGGCATAATATTTCAGAAAAACATTTCCACTAACTTTTCCACTAGATAATGTCATCTTGACCCTACCCGTAATAGCTCTAGGGATATAAGATCCAAAGGAGCTTTTTGTTCTAAATCATTGGCAATATTGTCAAGATCAGAAGGTGAATGTGGATCTGAATCATCCGCAAATATCTTCTCCGCCACACTTTTTCCAAGACTTCTAATGCCCACTGTATTGGTGTAGTTGGCCTTGTTTGTAGCCTCGATCATGTGCATAGTTTTAGCCGTGAGCTCAAGCTTCCCAAAAGGTGCTACAATGTTACTCATAAGCATGAGGAGCTCACTATTTGCTACAGCAATCATCATAGGCCTATAGAAGATCATACCAATTCCATAATCCTTCCCCCAACGAGGAAAAACTCAAGACCCTTCCATCGCCTAGCTTTCTCAAGCTCAAAAGTATAGACACGTTCTAGATCAATTTCTTCGAGTGGCGCATTCGATCGCCTCATCCACATATGTCGCACTAGACTAACTGGACTGAGTGCTAAGAAAACATATTTGCGCATTCTGTTTGTACGTCTGAACTGAAGTTCCAAAGGTGAAATGCAAGAATTCCACATGGTTAATGTCATAAACTTATCATAGTTCAATATGCTCAAAGCACCACAATATATATCATTTCTTATAGTTCCCAGGAATGTGGTAAACAAATTAGAACCAGGATCAAAGGGAAAGCATAATTTAAATTGATCAGGTGGACATCAATGCAATGGTAATATAAGTTTAGCATGACCAAGAAAACTTAAGTAATCAAATGCACCTCTGTCGATAAGTTGATCGTGAACGCAAGCTTGAAGCATACAAGGCCGTGCTAGTGGATTATGAAACATGACAGGGTCAAGGTAAGAACACTTTACTGGGGAAACGGTTTGAAACATTTCATCAAACACTTGGGTTTCAGGCTTTACTGAATCAGTTTTCAGCGAATCTTCGACTTTCATGTCAATTTTCTTATCGGGTATTTTAGCAAACACCATGCTATCATAGTTTTTTGAATTTTTCTCCTCGTTAATTTCAGTTTCCACCATCTCAATAAGTATGGCTAGAGCGTCTTTTATCCAAATTAGAATCAATCTCTGCTGCTGAGAACTGATCTGATTCGTACTTATCGTCCAAAGACACAACCACATATGTGTACTCTGGAGCTTCAGGGATCGTCTTGGAAGAGGCAGACAACTTGTTCTCCATTTTCTCGAGTAGTTTGAGCATACGAGAGTTATTATCTATTATCGCCATCATCAAATTATGGATGACGTTAAGGAGATAGTTGACAACGGTAGAAGAGTAAAGATCCATGGAGTCCAAATCAATGAAAGCACCAATGTTATGAACTCAACAAAACGATACCTTGATTAAACTTCCAAATAAACTGATTACAATAGAAATACAAAGGATATAGTCATAAACTAAGAAAATAGTAACAGAAAGAAAGGAGATGAGGAGACAGAGTCACATAGAGAAATAGACGAGGGAGAGAGACCAGGAGAGAGGAGTTTTCTAAATAACAATTCGCATAACCCTTCTTGCTAACCGCTATCCCCTTTTAACCATTCCTAATTGTACCTCATGGGCCGGGATCCCAAATTAACGTAAAAATAGCATGATATAGCCAGTTTTCGGGCTGGTCATTCAAAAATAGCCAGCGTTTACGAAGTCAATGAAAAATAGCCATTATTTTGCTGCAACAGAGACCGGTCCAGCATAATATACTGGAGTTCGGTGCACCTGTATATGAACTCCAGCATATTATGCTAGACCGGTATACTTTGCTGACTCCAGTATATTATACTGGAGACTGGAGCACCGGTGCTCCAAACTCCAGTATATTATACTGGACAATTATACTTGTTGGAACTCCAGTATATTATGCTGGAGTTCTAGTGTACTTATGCTGGAACTCCATCATATTATGTTGGAGTTGCAGCATACTTATCTTGGAACTCTAGTATAATATGCTGGAGTTCAAGCATACTTATGCTGGAACTCCAGTATAATATACTGGCGTATTTTCCGGATTTCGAACAGTGTTTTCGCTCAGATTTATCTTTACAGAAAAGTGGCTGATTTTTGAACGACCAGTTGTAAATTTGGCTATTTTTGAATTTCTCCCCCAAATTAACCTTTTTAAAGACCTTCTGGCCCTCTGGTTTCTTCTCAGCCCAATAGCTCTTCTCAGCCCAATATTGGATTGGAGCTTATTCATACTACCGAAGCTAGTATCACAGGCTGGTTATGTGGAGGTGTTCAGGTGGTAGTCTACATTGTTGGTGAACTGGTCTTGTATAACAGTCTGGTTTCAGATGTTAATTAGTTAGCTGTTAGTGGCCATTAAAATTAGTTGTTAACTACAGACTAAGATTTTAATTAGTTTGTTGGCATACTCACTTATATAAATTGCCATATGCAAGTAATGAAATATGAGCGGTTATCATTTTCACTCATAACATTTTTTCTCTTTTCTTCTTTGCAGGTTTCCTCCATTGGAGAGCTTTGAATCCGTCATTGTTATATTCTCTGATTTGTTTACCCTTTAACATGGTATCAAAGCCAACAATAACTGACTATAAGCATGATTTGGTTATGCTCATTGTCTGTTATCCTTTCGTGGCTTATGAAAATGGTGTCCGCAAAACTTCTCAGTGGGATCACCTACGCCTCGAACACTCATCTTATTTGGGAAGACGTGAAGGAACGATTTTATAAATTAATATAGAAAATTTAAGTTATACATACGTAAATGTTTTTTACAATATGATTTAATTTTTATTTGTTACAACATATATACTAGTTATCTTACTTCCCGGTCTAGTAATTAATGTTTATCAAAAAAATTTATATAATTATCTTATAAGTAATCTGATTATCGAAATATTTGTAAGTCGTGAATACATAGTGAAGTAACACGTTAAATTTAGCGTGTAAATCGTAAACGAGAACTTACTTGTTCTTGTAGCGAAAGCGAATGGAACGGACGAACAGCGGCTGGAATTACTAGTCGGCGGTGGTTGTCACAGTGTATTGGATCAACCCCCAATTTCACAGTCTAAACCCTTCTTTGGATTGAGGGAGAGCGTGGAAAAATACTGCTTAGAGTTATTTTTAGTGTACATATCAAATGTACTTATATAGAGAATATTAGAGTTAACTAATAACCCTATTTGGCCTAAAAGCAACCCTTATGGTTGGACAACATCTCTCACTCACACATAATGGGAGTGCTCATCTAATTTGAGAAATATATTCTCATCTCCTCAACCATTCATACATGGAAGTAGACCGTGTGACCAACATACCGTGGGAGCTAAGTGTTATACATCTGTTAGGAGTATATAGCCTCTCGTTGAGCCAAACCTGCAAGTAAATCATAAAGTACGCAGTACCCTAGATCATATAAATCACATTTGATATTGTCTAAAAATCTCATATATCATTATTTCTTGTAGTCACAATCATAACTCATAAATTATAATTAGTGCACCAGTGAATACAAATAAATGAGATTCCATCAATGATCTTCCTCTTCTTACGATCCCGTTACCATTAGTATGACTGCTTTTCTAGATATGTTCTGCTAGACCGAATCTATGTACATGGTCTTTTAGAAACACACTAAGATAGCTAACATCACACTAAGTCTCAAGTATCTGATTAGAGTCTGTGAGGGTACAAGATCTTGAGCCATCATAAAAGCTCTGGGTCTCACACAACAATAAGTTGAGAATAGACTTATGTTAACCCAATTGGTCGACATTAGCACACATGGTATGAAACATGTGCTACAACATTTTCACCTTTTTTTCCAAGGAGCGTATGTCTTTATCTCATATAGAATATTGTACAAATGATATTTAGACACCATAAGTATCTAAATTTGAATTTCTTGATCTACAAAATCATATTTAACTTACATATGTCTCACAAAGTACACTAGGTGAACAATTTTCACCTTAATGACCTTATGTCATTGTTTAAACGACATTCTAATTTTAAGCGAATAGCTCTCATATTATCGTTCTGATAATTTTGCTTAAAATCAAGTATCATCTCCTCACATCACTAAGATAAGGAGGCGGTTGCTTGTATGAGAAGGCCAATCTCTTGTCTACCTGACATACTTATAAAAAAATAAAGAATGCACATAACATTC